CTCGCACAAAATTCCAGTTTGCAAGCGCAAATTACTGCACGCAAAATTGGATCTTGATAAATCCGGCCCAGAGTTTCAATCTCCATCAGTGTTTGCTAACCTACAAAAAAACCTGTTAAACTTTTGCCCTTGGTCTCTGAGTGGTTCTCTGCATGTGGGTCAGATCATTATGGCCCATTATGACACCCTGAAGACCAATAATGGTAATTCTGCTATGCAAATGCTAAAGCAGAAAAGCAACAAAATCCTTACAAAATCCAACCCACAAAAACCAATTATATCCAGTTTCCACCTCTACATTAAGCTAAAACCCTTCAGCTATCCAACTATGGTGACCATTTTTTAAGTTGCTCATTTTGTAAACACCCCCTCCTCATCCACTACAATCCACCTAAATCCTTTGATGTATAACTCTTGAACATGTTCATTTAACACCTGCACAAATAAACAAGTCTGGATTCTTTAAATTAAGTCTGGTGAGTGATATACGTCCTCTGAGCTACTGTCGGTAAAAATAGGCACCTATCTCACTGTAAGTGATTCTTGTACCATTGGGTATTAAGGCCTTTGTTGATGTATGGAAGAAAGTAATCAATATTTAGAAAAAAAACAACAAATTTTTCTTCTCTCAAAACCAGTAAGCTTTGTGAAAAGAGAAGCTGTTTGTCTGCACAGGCCTCAACATCTACATCCAGGAAAAAAAATAAACTGTGCAAGGAGTGAACTTGCAGTCCTTGCAGTTCTCATTGACCTTCTTTACCTCAACAGCTCTTTTGGGACATACATAAAAATAAAATGGATCTTTGAAAAGCATTATAAAAATAAAAAAAATGAGAACGAAAAAGAAAATTAACGCACTTCATAAAAAGGAGAGAGAACTATGGGAAAAGCTGCCAAGTCCGGCTCTACTGAGACCAGCAAGTCTTCCTGTCTGGGCAGATTTTACAGCAGTAATCAAGGCGCTAATCATCACTGAAAGGAGCCAAGGGACTCAGCATGATCATCAGATGCTAAGTGACTACAGTACAGTCTTCTACACGTTGCCTCGTATCTGCCAGGGTTATAAAAACAAAGAAAATAAACCCCAAATACCTTGTAAATGATGCTCTTAACCATCGTCTTTTGCTGCTGTCACATCAGCAGGTTTTCGGCGAATTTCTCTATCAGCTTTGCTGTTTAAAGTTTCAGCTTTAAATGTGGGGGAACAACAGGTGTGAACTCTTACAGCTATGAATATTTTTGTCAATCACTCCGTCAGAGGATGGGCTTCAGTTCAGATCAATTATTATTTTTTTATTTTAATGAAAACTGATGCAAATTAGAGAAATTCCTGCTATGCAATTAACATTTTATCAACCATATTTAGCACCTATTTTAATTCCCCAGCTTCCGACACTGAAACATTAGAAGTTTGACCAGTAGCTCTTTCGAGCGGTTCCTAGTGGGGGTTTCGGTTTACATGAGCCCCCCCAGCCCTTAGGGGGGGTTAGGCTGTTGCAGGATGACTGACGCCCCCTGCCCCATTTCTGCAGGGGCTATTTAAAGACCTCAATGACAGGGCAGGGGAAGAAAAGGAGGGGTTGGAACTTCAGAGGCAACATAAATTTGGAGAATTGGTTTCTATTCATTGGTATCAATCGTTGTTTTATACTCTGACATGATTCTGTTCAGTTTTACCTAAACAATCAGGTTTTAAGCAGTAAGCAGTACCTCCTTAGATGGCTGATAAAAGCTTAAAATTGTTCAGCTTCAAGTATTTTTCTATATATTTTCATATTAACTACTTTTTTAAGGTGATCTATAATTATTACAGATAAAATAAAGGACCGGTAGAAAAAGAAAATCTCCGGTGTAACCGTGTGTTGAGGGGAAGTGATGACATTTTTTATGGGAACATACCGTTCTCTGTGTGTGCTGCGTCCTCCTGCTGATGGTTGAAGCTCTCGTACGAGTCCCAGCGGATCAGGGGGTCCTGGGTGTTGTAGTCCACACAAACGCTGGGCCCGTTCTCTAGGTGGTCCAGACCTAAGGGGATTTCAATGAGAAAATGGGAATTAGCAATAAATGGGGAAACCAAAGTAGGCTTTTTAAAGTGATCAGAAGCTCACCTCTGATTTTTTCTGGTCCATATGAGAAGACAAACTCCACCTTTCCGTACTCTGGGAACCTTTCATCTGTGAAAACAAACAAACAATAGCTATTTTTTATGGTAAAAAAAAAATAAAAATAAAGGTCCAGACTGTGCAGCTTTGTCTACAACAGCAGGAAAATAACTACAGACACTAAGCGGATATGAACGTCTTGTTTGTGCTCAAAATTTCAAAGTAGCACAAAGTCTGTGTGATGACACTCTTGTGTGTTTATGAGACCATTAAGGGTTCGGTCTTCTCCCCCTCTAGCTCTAGACATGAAACCACAATTGCAGGTTTCTGTGACGGTGGGAGTCTCATTCTCAGGGTAGGAAAAATAAGCAAGACTGATCCGATTTTCGCCATTCTGTTCTTGTTCTGATGGTAAGACAAACTGAGAGACAAGACTGATTGTTTCTCGCCAATTAGCTTTTGTTACGAAAAACAAGAAGAACAGAGCGCAGGACTGACTCTGTTCTGCCCACTTGGTTCTTATTGCTGCGGTAAGACCAATTGACAGTATATTTTTAAAGACATTTGCATGGATGTTAGAGTTATGAAAAGGGTTGTAAAGAAACACATTTAAATATTTTACACCATCTTTTTAGAAGATTTTCACACGAAAGAGGTTTGGCAAAGATTGCATCCTTGCTAGAGTTGAAAGGTCAAACCGGATCCATAAGAACAAAGGTACCATGTTGAATTACCCATTCACCAATAGAAGATAAGATAGCATGCAACTTCAAAGAGAAGAAAGTATCGGTTTCCATTTGCATGTTTCCAAGCAATAAGAGGCCTTGTCTGTATAAGACTCAAACTCACTGCGGATTCAGACATTTGAATTGAGAAAGCTTCCTGGAGAGGTGGCGAAACGTCTTCAAATCTTGGAAACCAAGTCCAGTGGATTTTTTTGAACTTTTACGGAATGACTATGACCTGGATGACTAAGAATCTTCATCAGCAAATGACAGAGTAGACAGTTTTATAGAAATAGATGGAAATATTCCACGGACTGACCAGAAGAAAAGAGCAACTTTTGGGAGAGTCTATCAAATGATCTGTCCTGATAGCTCACCTTAATTGCTCATACCTTTCGCCTACTTAACTCTGTCCAGCTCCTAACCATCACTCATCTTCCCCACCTGCTGGTTTCCCTTATATTGAGTTCAGTTCCAGCTGTCGGGGCAGATCATTGTTTCATCTCGGTTAGTTCCCTGTTTGCCTTCTGTTAGTGTCCTGTCTGTCAGTTTTAGTTATTTCCAAGGGTCATGTCCCCGTTTCCAGTAGGAGATTATTTTTTCAGCCCATGTCTTCAGGCTAGTTTTAATCTGTTTCAGAGCTTTTCAGCATTTCTCCGAGTGATTCTGTTTCCTGATTGGAAATAGGAAACTGATTGGATGGTTTTTCCTGCTGGATTTTGCCTGTCTGTGCATTTCTGTCTGAGCTGGATGCTCGATGCACGGGACTCTGAACCTGCCTTCGCACTCTGATGGATTCTTGGAACCCAGATCTGTCTGTTCCTCAGTGGACTGTACTGTACCTCGCACCTGCAGTCACTGCAGTTCCACAGCAGCGCGCTTCTGTTTTGTCTCTTTCTGTTTTAATAAATGTTTAGAACTTTCCTTCTGGCTGTCTCACCTTGAATACTGGGTCCATCTGTCCCGTATTATGACATGGATGTCAGGAATAAATTAAAGATGTTTTAGCGTTACTTTAAACATCTTGTTTATGATCATAAATCCCTAAGTGTGGATGTGTTAAAACAATCCTGTGTAAAAACAAAAAAGCTAGTGGCAAAGTAATTATGAGGTTAGCTTTATCATTGTTTCCATTAACAAAAAAGACTTTAAAAACTAATTGTTATCATTGTTGTCTGTCATTTCTTTATCATTTTGATGAGGTTTAACAGTTAAATGTGACCTAAAAGCAAAAAATAGAAAAACTCACAAGGAGGGAATTGCTTTATAAAGGCACAGAGGCCGCAATATTGGAAAACAGAGTTGAATCAAATAATCATTCTTTTCATGGTCATTTTAATTTTATTCAGAAAGATGCTAATCATTTTCTTATTTCAATAAATATGATACAAGATTCAAAAAAGCCTAAGTCCTTTTATGGCTTAATAATTCCTAAATACCACTTTAAATGATTGTTTTACTGCTTAAAGTATTAGTAAATTCCTGTTTTTATAAAATCTTTATCTGATTTTGACCCAAAACAGAAGAAAAAGAAACAAAATGCCAGCAGGTTGTTAGTTGTAATTTCATTTAAAACAAATTTAAATACACTAAAAACATCAATATATATGTATTTGTATAAATATAATGTGTAGAATTGGGTTAGATTGGAATTTTTTCCTTTAAAATGTTAATGTGTCTAAAAGTTTTATATGAACTAAAAAATATACGAAATGTTAAAAAACATAAGAAAAAAAACTGAATTTACATTTTAGGCAAAAATATCTGTTTAAATATTGTTAATTAAAACGGTTATCTTCCAAAAAAGCAAAATAAAATTTTTTTTTGAGTACGTCTAAAAAAAAAAAAAAAACAAGTATTATCTTTTATTCATTGTAAGATTATATGTACCATCATGCATTTTTTATTTTTATGCTTTAAAAAACAAAACAAGAGAATTAAGGTGTTTTTAATCAACTGTTAAACAAGCAAATGCTTAAAGGTAAATGTGCCAACACTCCCTAGATTGGTAGTTTAACACCAAATTCTTACTGCCACCTCAAGTTTTTCTTAAGTTTCTGTAAATATCTTTATTTTACTTTGAAATAGACAAAAAAATAAATAAATAAATAATACAATTGTATATGAAACTGGATTGGAACTGGGTATTTTAGAACATTTCATAACGTTTTTAACGTGCTAAATATGGTTGATGAAATGTTAATTACATAGCTGGAATTTAATCATTTGAAAAAATATATATATTTTAAATAACAAATTAACAAGAAAACATTAACTTTAAGTATAAAAAAAATAAAACTATGTTTACTAGCTATTTTTAAATTTTAAATTTTCAAAGAAAGCCAAAATAAATCATAAATAAACTAGATTTTTTTTGTCTTAAAGAAACCATGAGCTCTTTTATCTATTGTCCAAGATTATCCTGTATGTAGATGGGTTTTTTTTCTTATTATTTTTAGGGAAAAAAAAGTAAGTGTGTTTAACAATTAAGTCAAATCTTGAGTCTAAAGGAACTTTTCAAAATAAAGGTGACAGCCCTCCTTTTAGCTTTAGGGATTTTTGAATAAATGTTTTGCTACTTGGCCACAAGAGGGAGCTGTTCATTATGAAAGTGGATGTATCATCTGTCATCTGCTGTCAGAAAAAAGCAATTAAACCTTAACCTTAGACTTTAATTTGGCCTTTTTTAGATTTATTCTTGAAAAATCTAATGAAATCATGTCAACTGTTTTCATTTCATGAATTATTTAGCTGCAAAGAGCTTAACCATAGAAAAACCATATTACCTTTAAAGGTCTCATCGAGCTCAGTCTTCCCAAAAACCACCCCGAGGTCATGGATAGCACAAGTGTGGAACTGCACCCTGAACATCACGTCCCGGGTCGGGTTCCTGTACCTCTTGTGGTAACACTTCAGCTATTAATAAACAAGAAATGAAACCAAACATCAAATCAATGATTCCTATGAGTCTTAATAACCAAAAAAATAAATAAATAAATAAACAAAGAAAAGTAAGATTGAGATCCAACCAGAATGTCTCCTTTCAGAAGCAGGCCGGGTTCAATGGTGATACAGATACTGGTGTTGCTGTCTCCTTGAACATTGCTGCCAAAAAACAAAATACAATAAACGTTGTGGATCACATCATGGTGTCAATTTCTAGTTAGCCTTTAAACTTAAACCAGTCTGAATTGGGGGGAAAAAAATCGGTTTTCATACTATATTCCGGATGTATAGACAGGCTGCATGGCCTGGTAGATCTTCAGGAAAGGCCTGCATCCTGTGAAGAAATGGAAACGAAGAAAATGTAAGTCACAGCCACATCGTTCGTGCTTCTCTTTTGTACTTTTTGGGTCGGAAACTCACCTCCTTTGGACTCAAAGTTGGGTATGCCGTGCATGATGACATGATGCAGGAAGAGGGGCTTATTGTTGATTTTTATGTGCCCAGACAGGAGCCCGTTGAAATATTGAACATACCTGCAAACAAAGGAATGTCATCCTCTAATTTCCTCTGTTATCTTTGCTTCTAGCATTTCTTTCATCACCAGCTCCAGGTCTTCAATAAACTCACCTGTTTCCACTCACAATAGGGGGTGGGTTTTAAAGAAGTCACAGGTAATTGCCCAGGACATAATTAGAAGGGTTAGGGCTAGATTAAAATATTTTTTCATCCCTTAGTATCATTATAAATAGTTTAGTTATTTGACATAATAGGAATCAGGTATTAAGACTAAAAAAGTGGGATTAATTTTTTACTGTATGGATAAATATGAAAAAAAAACAAAAGAAATTCTATTTCTAGAAATTTTCAATCTGAAAATTTGGGTTGAATTTCGATAACCGATAATAATATTCACTTTATGGCCTAAAACTCTTTTGAGACTATGATAAACTGATCATAGTGAATAAATTGCTTCTCTAATTAAGAGTTTACTCTCCCAATAACACTTGTTATTTATTAGAAATATCATAATTGAGAATTTCTTCCTTTTTTCGAAATAAGCAAAAATAAAAACCTAAACCTAAAATAAAAACAGAGACTAGAAAAAAGGAGCATTGTTTGGCCCAGTTGTGGAACAGTTCTTATTGGTTAAAAAGGAGTGCACAAGAGCTACGCACAACGTAAGTGAACGGGGCGGAGCGGATACGGAGGATGTGGAATCTGACAGTTAGTCATTCTGCATGGAGTACTTTCTTGTGATTGGCTTATATAAGGGAGCTTTGTGATTGGTGGAAGACTATTTCCTGCTTTAAAAAAATGCATTTGTGTTTATAGACCACTAGTACTTTGTAATTTAATTAATAATTGTTTATGGTCCAGAAATACTTTGGTGAATCTTGTTCTGTGCATGTGTGGATCTTGTGTGCAGCATGAATAGTGTTGTGTGCGTGTGGATCTTGTACTATGTGTGTGAATTTTTTGTGTGCTTGTGCGAATAGTGCTGAGCATGTGTGGATCTTGTCCTGTCCATGTATGAATCACAGATGCGTATTTGTAAAAATTGAGACCGATCTTGCTCCATAAACAACGGCCGATTCCAGTGTTTAAATATATCTGCAGTTATTTCAAATATAAATATCAGTGCTTCTATGTTCCTTCTCTATTTCTTTGAACCCTCAGTCTTTCAGCCTGGTTCTGCTGGGGGTTTCTTACATTTAACAGGGAGTTTTTCCTCTCCACTTTGGAGAGTAAAACTTGCAGGGTTAAGTGAATGATGGAGCTAGAATCAAAATTTGAACTGCAGACTTTTAAATCAATAAAAACCTATTCATCACAAACTTAACTCCCTACTGAACCACAGACCAAATTCTATCCCTCTTATGAGGTGGCATTTGTCCTATTAGATACTTGACAAGTTAGTATTATCTGGTTGCTAATAATGCTAATAAAGATGGAATCAAAGGTAACCTTGACCTCCAGGTCTCCACCTACACACATCCCCCTTGTTCTCCTGTCAGTGACCAGATGTTTTGGCTTCTGGGAGGTTCAGTTAGTCTGACCCGAGATGTTGTGTTAGGAAAAGAAAAGCTAGGGGGCTGTAGCAACAGCATGTGTTATTTATTTCATCAAAAACAATACAGATTTGATCCTACACATAAAATATTATTTACCAATTGTTTATTACAGTTAACAGATACTGTACTGACACAACGGGGATACCCCTCTCCTCACTTACTGACATGTTGGGTTCATGAACTTTCTAAATTCTTCCATGAGCTCTGAAGTAAAAACATACCCCTAACCCGTCCCTTACCCTGACATTAACCCCTTAACTTAAAGAAACACTACTATCACTAGTGTCACATGATATAATGTCCACAACCTGCCATTTATCCTGGGCGTCACATACTGATGATAGGGGTACCCCATTTGTGTCAGTATGGGGGGCTCAGGAGATTTAGACCAAGCATTAGTATGCAGAGATGGGAAGTAACGAAGTACAAATACTTTGTTACTGTACTCAAGTAGATTTTTCTGATATT